GGCCGCGGGGCCGGTCCGGACCGGTCCGGTCCGAGCTTCCGGGTCCCGTTCCCGGTCCCGCGCCCCGCGTTCCGCCGCCATGACGCTCTCCGTCTTCTTCGGGTGCACCTTCATCGCCTTCGGGCCGGCGCTCGGCCTCTTCCTCTTCACCATCGCCCGCGACCCGCTCCGCATCATCATCCTCATCGCCGGGTCAGTCCCGCGCCGGCACCGGGAGAGGCACGGGTGCCACCGTGGGCACTGGTGTGGGCGTGATGGGGGCACTGGTACTGGTATCGGTGCTGGTGTGGCACCGGTGCCGGTGCTGGTACCAGTACGGGTGTGACGGGGCGCTGGGTGTGATGGGGCGCTGGTACCGGTACTGGTGCTGGTACCAGTATGGGTGTGACGGGGCGCTGGTCCCGGTGCCGGTACCAGTATGGGTGTGATGGGGCACTGGTGCCGGTGCTGGTACCAGTATGGGTGTGACGGGGCGCTGGTACCGGTACTGGTGCTGGTACCAGTACGGGTGTGACGGGGAGCTGGTACCGGTGCCGGTGCTGGTACCAGTATGGGTGTGATGGGGCGCTGGTACCGGTGTCGGTGCTGGTACCAGTATGGGTGTGATGGGGCACTGGTGCCGGTGCTGGTACCAGTACGGGTGTGACGGGGAGCTGGTACCGGTGCCGGTTCTGGTACCAGTACGGGTGTGACGGGGCGCTGGGTGTGACGGGGCGCTGGGACCGGTGTCGGTGCTGGTACCAGTATGGGTGTGACGGGGGGCTGGTACCGGTGCCGGTGCTGGTACCAGTATGGGTGTGACGGGGCGCTGGTGCCGGTGCTGGTACCAGTATGGGTGTGACGGGGCGCTGGTACCGGTGCCGGTGCTGGTACCAGTATGGGTGTGATGGGGCGCTGGTACCGGTACTGGTGCTGGTACCAGTATGGGTGTGATGGGGCACTGGTGCCGGTGCTGGTACCAGTACGGGTGTGACGGGGAGCTGGTACCGGTGCCGGTTCTGGTACCAGTACGGGTGTGACGGGGAGCTGGTACCGGTGCTGGTACCAGTATGGGTGTGATGGGGCGGTGACTGGTACTTGCAGAGGCACAACGGGGGGATGAGTACCGGTGCCACTGTGGGCACGACAGGGGCACCGGTGCCAGTACTCATACTGGTGCTGTTGCTTGCATGACCGGGGCACCAATATTGTTCCTCTTACTGGTACAGTCATGGGCACGTTAGGGACACCAGTACTCATACTGGTGGTTGTGGTCATGACAGGAGCACCAGTACTGGCCCTCATACCCTTGTGAGTGTGACCGGGGCACCAGTATCTGTACTTGTACTGGTACCATTGCAGGCACAGCAGGAGCACCGGTACTTGTACCATTGTGGGCATGACAGGGGCACCAGTACTGGTATTGTACTGGTACGATTGTGGTCACCACGTGGCGTGGGCATGATGGGGAGGACACTGGCATCAGTAATGGCATGGGATCGGTGGAGCACTGGTACCAGTATCAGCGCAGGGTTGGTAGTGGTACTGGTGCATGCGTGCAGCAGGGGCACTGGTACCGGTACCACTGTGGGATCAGTAGGGTATGGTAGTGGAACCGGTACCGGTGTGGATATGAGCCTGGCGCTGGTACTGGTGTGGGCACAGCAGGAGCACTGGTGCCAGTCCTGGTTACCAGCAGAGGAGGAGTGCAGGCACAGCAGCAGCACCAGTATGGGCACCACCTGCCCAGCACTGGTACCAGAACGGCGCTGGTACTGGTAGGAGAGTGGGCGAGGCTGGGGCACAGCTGCCAATGCCAGTACCAACACAGAGGGGTGCAGGCGTAGTGCCGATGGGCACAGGCGTGGCACCGGCACTGGTCCTGGCACAGCACCGGTGCCAGCATCTCTCTCTCTTGCAGGGCTTTCTTCTGGCTGGTGTCACTGCTGCTCTCCTCCCTCATCTGGTTTATCGCGGTTAAAGCCAGCGACCCCCGGGATGAGCCATTGCAGAAGGGGCTCTTGATATTTGGGGTGATGTTCTCTGTGCTGCTGCAGGAGGCCTTCCGCTTCCTCTACTACAAGCTCCTCAGGTAAGGGCATCTCCTGCCCTGCTCCAGTGCTGCTGGATGGTCCTCCCATCCTCCCGGCCGTGGCAGGTGCCAGATTTCATCTGGGAGCTCCTGGGCTGGGGGGGATGCCAAGCGTGGCACCAAGGCACCTCAGTCCTGTCTGGGAGCGTGCAGGTGGTACCTGTGTCGGTATGTTGACCTCGAGTGGGTCTCAGGTGGTGGAGCAGAGCAGCCCTAAGGTCTGGAGGACCCAGGGCTGAGGTGGCTGGTAGTGTCTCCCTGAATCCGGGACAGGTAGACTGTGGGTTTGGGCTGCTGCAGGACGTGTCGCATCCTCTCTGCCCTGGTGACTACCAGCAGCAGTGCTCCCGCAGCTCAGAGGGGTGCCGGGGGGACGCCAGGCACCAGGAAATGCCCGCTTTGCAGCGTGGGGGCAGAGAAGGGTTAGGGATATGCCCTTGCCTCCTGGCAAGTCTTGTTCCTTTCTTAAGGATGGTTTTGTGTTAGCAGGGACAGCCTGAAGGTGGTTTTGGGGCTCTGGGGGCTGGCACATCACTGCCAGCCCGCAGCAAAGTCTCGGCGCAGCC